AAAAATGAAGATGCTCTCGTAACAGCAATTGAACCTGAAACAGCTCGTCTAGTGTTGAATGACGCAGTTGATAGACAATGAGTTATTTTCGAAATTATAAAAGAAACCACTGAAGATGACAAGATGTTGATAGGAGTAAGGAATCATCTCACCAAACGGCTTAACCATTGTTCTTAAGAAGAACTGCTACAGTACTCGCGTCGGTGTGAATCGTTTATGATCGTCTATTCCTGTATTATGTTTAGTGTAACAGAATCGTTGTTCAAAAAACATTACACCAGAGTGTTCTGAAATTATTCCACAGCGGTCATGCCAGCATCTACGACGTGAAACCTTTGATATAGAGCTATGTTTACTGGGCTTCAATAAACCAGAATATCAAAAATGGATGCCGAAACTGTCCATCGTGCCTCCAAGCACCAAGAAATCGAAAGAAAAGTGAATCACAACAACGGCCAAAACCGAAAAGACCCTGGGAGAGGCTGCACACAGATTTCGCTGGCCCAGCACAAAGGAGAATGTTTTAAATCATTGTCGATCTATTCATAACACGGCCGGAAATATATATTGTGTCAAATTGTATAGCCAATGAAAAGGCCGGCTAGTTATCGGATTTGTTTCGCTGTTTCGGAGTAGCAGAGATCTTAGCGACCGATAATGGTTAACAAATCATTTCAGAGTCATTCAAGCATTTCTATGGCATGAACGGAATAACGCGCCTACGTTCACCACCCTTTCATCCTCACTAGAACGGAAAAATAGAAAATTTTGACGACACATTTAAACGACCATTACTATGAAAAAGACGAAGGGACAAGTCAGGTAATCACAAAGTTCTTAAAAAATTATAGAACTGGTCCAAACCACACTGTCCCAGATGCAAAGTCCATTGTCAAAGTCGTGTTTGGAAGAAGTGTTTCGACTACTTCCAACGCCATGTTGCCAACTAAAATAATAGATGGCCACAAAATTAGGATATCTTAAGTTTCAATGTGGGGGAATAAAGTGGTTGTCAAACCATATCTTGGAAAAATTCGATGGGAACCTGAAATTATAAAAAGAATACCTGGAAAAGTTATGTCCAAAGTGCGTAGGGGCGTTTAGAATGTGGACGGGATATGTAAATCGAATCCGTGAAGATAAACGGACAATAAACACGGAAGGGGAAACTACCAATGACGGAAACCCTCAACAACGCCATAAAGAACAAAAGGAGGAAGGGTTGGAAAAGGAAGCCAGAGAGAAGCTGCTACCTTGACGCAGTAGTCGGACATGCCTACCGTGATGACCCAACCGGGCTATATTGGCTGAAACATAGGTTCCTGTAGGTTCTACCATGCCAGGCAGGTCGATTGGAAAATGGTAAGACTAAAAGCAGCAACTCAAGGTCTGAGGGCGAAGTCGTACTGCTGACTGTAGAGGGGTGTGACAACAGTAAGGTGTTTCCCTCGGACAACCAGCATCTGCAGCGATGCTGCCTTCTCACAAGGAAGGAAGGGGTTAGAAAAGGTTGACCCTAGAAATGTCACACCTCACCTTACCTCACGGATTTCCGTCTCCGGTGGTAAGGCCCTTTGAAGAACGGAGCTAACCCGTTGAAAACCTCCCACAAAAAGCCTGTGCGCGACCGGCCTCAAGCAGTTGTCCCTTGGGCTCTGCGGTCACGCTCCCAGGTCGTTAAGACCAACACTAATCCGACTTCTTTTTCAGATTCCTCAAGAAATATCCTTCCACGGTGTGGGCAACCGGGAAGTGATATCAGCCCTCATACCCGTAACAGCGCACGAGACCAAGTTGGTCACATTCAAATCCTTCCTTCACCTCCTAATACCTCTCTTATTTCCATGACTAACCCTCCTCACTTTTCTTTATCACCTCGCACCGGTAGGGCAAACGATTCGAGTACGCGGAACGCTATTCCTGGTCTCCTGAAACCACGCTCTAAACTACACGTAGGAGCTTTTAACGTCCGAACACTGTGCCAAATAGGACAGTAGGCTTCCTTAGCTAGCACTTTAGAATCCCGCGCCATCGATGTGTGCTGCGTCTCCGAAACGCGCATACAGGATCCGAGTAGCGTCATTCACTTGACCTCACCATGCCAAAATAAAGAACCGACTCGATTCACACTTCGTGTATCTGGAAGCCTTGTTTCTGCTTCCCGTGGAATCGCCAGCGTAGGTATAGCATTGAGTTCTAAGGCAGAACTAGCTCTCTTAGACTGGATCCCAGTAGACAGTCGTTTGTGTGCTGTCCGACTAAGCCGAACAGTAAGGATCCGAAAAGATAGGGACACTCGTCGTTGCCTCTTCGTCGTCTCTGCCTATTCTCCCACTGACTGCAGCTCAGATGATGTAAAAGATGAGTTTTACAGAACATAATGAAGAGCGGAGTCAGCTTAAGCGCAAACTGACAAGAAGTCTACGCAATGATCGGGAACAGTGGTGGGTAGTGAAAGCAAGAGAGATGGAAAAGGCAGCGGCAATAGGTAATAGCAGACAATTGTTCAGACTTATTAAGGAAACCGACTGTTAGCGAAACAACCTCAAAGAAAGATGGACATATACATTCTCAATTCAGGAGATTGGATCGATGGGCAGAACACTTTAGGGATCAGTTCAACTGGCCTTCAGCCACACTTCGATTTCCCACGATCTCCAGTCAACCTGAATGGCAAGCTAATGTAGGTCCTCCGTCTCTTTACGAAGTTGAAAAAGCCATAGGAAATCTGAAGAGAGGGAGAACAGCAGGCCCTGACAGGTTTACTCCTGAGACTTTTAAGGATGGTGGTCCAGTATTAGCAGTGAGATTACATGAGGTTTTAGGTAGAATTTGGGAACTGGACGTAATCCCATCTGACTGGTCTCAATCACTGATTATACCAGTATATAAGAAAGAACAAAATCCCTCTTGTGACAATCACAAAAGAATCAGTTTGACAAATATAGTGTCTAAAATATTAGCTTCAATAATACTTCAACGCCTAACTAAAGCTCGTGAAGAGCAGACTAGAGAAAATCAGGCTGGTTTACGACCTGGACGTGGTTGCATAGATCAGATATTGACACTACGCCAGGTTCTAGAACACAGACACACGTTCAGATGCCCCACAATCGTAGTATTTCTCGACCTTAAGGCGGTATTCGACCCTGTTGATCGTGAGGTTCTATGGTAGTGTTTGTCACCGAAAGGAGTACCAAAGAAGTACATTAACCTTATACAGGCTCTCTACTCGAACACAACTGGTAGAGTGAGAGCTTATGGCGAACTGTCATCAGAATTGATTACCTCAAGTGGTGTTCGTCAGGGCTGCCCACTCTCTCCATTCTTGTTTAACTTTTTCATTGACGTACTTTTACAGATGACACTTTCCTCATCTAAATTTCCAAGGGTTGAACTTCTACCAGGAGATTCACTTGTTGACTTGGAATATGCCGATGACGTCGTTCTATTTGGTGAAGACGCTAACAAAATGCAGTCTTCTGACCACTCTAAGCAACAATGCAAGAATGTTCGGGATGCGATTCTCCCCCTCGAAATGCAAAATGTTGCTTCAGGATTGGGTAGCATCGACACCCGAACTAATGATAGGAAGTGAAGTAGTTGAGCGTGTCGACCGCTTCATTTATCTTGGAAGTCTCATCAGCCCTTGTGGTCTGGTGTGTGACAAAATCTCAGCACGGATACAGAAGGCTCGACTAGCTTTTACCAACTTGCGTCATTTATGGCGTAGGCGAGATATCCGTCTATCAACCAAAGGACGTGTTTACTGCTCAGCAATTCGTTTCGTCCTACTTTATGGCAGTGAAACGTGGCCGGTAAGAGTAGAGAATATTCGTAGGTTACTAGTATTTGATCATAGATGTCTTCGAAATATTGCTCGTATATCCTGGGACCATCGAGTAAGTAATGCAGTTGTTAGGAAACGGGTACTAGGTAAGGATGGCAAATCGATTGATGAAGTGGTGAAACTTCATCAGTTAAGATGGCTGGGACACATGCTACGTATTCCCAACGACCGACTGCCTCGACGTGCGATGTTCAGTGGTGTAGGAGTAGGTTGGAAGAAAGCTAGGGGCGGCCAGACCAAAACATGGAACAAGTCCATGAAGTCACTGACAAGTGGACTGAGTCATGTCGGTAGGTGTAGACTACCTGGTTGGGGACCGCGAGATGATAGCACCCGATGGTTAGAGACCCTGAATGACATGGCTCAAAATCGTTTGCAATGGCGCAGGTGCATACACTCTTTGTGTTCTCCCAGATTTTAATCTCCTGATTCCTCCTTGTCTTTTTTTCTTCCCGAATTTATTTCACTGTATTATACTCTTTAAATAACATCTCCGAACGCTAATCTTCCCTACTACTGCTTATACTCTTACTACCTCTACCACTACGGGATTTGAATCGACCACGGCATCTCTGTGCTAATGTGGTGTGGCAACTCGAACTGATGTACGTACGCACGAAGTTCTACGTTGTTACTAACTGACTGGATAAGGAAGACATCCTTGTTGTTCTGTGTATAAACTAATCTTGTAGTAAAGTGTTTTTTTCCGCAGTTCATGTTTTTTCCCTTATGTTTAAGTTACCGTGTAGATTTAGGGTTATTAGGAGAGGCTAAGTAATCGCATTAGGCGTTCGTTTAGCAGACTTAACATCTATCACCCTAGTGCCATTGATGATAATTATCATAATTACAGCACAATCGACCTCCGCATGTCACGGTTATATTATACATATCTCTGCAAGCTCCGGTTACAATTCCTATTGTGACTATGTATACTAATCAGTGTAATTCCATAGAAATTTTTGATGTAACTGTAACTCACTGGTCACTAACAGAGTCGATATCCTCGATCATAAGCTACACTTTCTGTGCTAAGAAAAATTCTACTAATTGGACATTCCAGTCAAAGAATATAAGGCAGTACTATATATATATATATATATATATATATATATATATATATATATATATATAAAGAGAGAGAGATTACCTCTTTATTTGTGTTTAATTCATTTAATTTATCTCGTAATTCCAAGTTTAATAGTAATTCTCTACATTCTGCACGAGCTGTTTTCGCTTCCGATTCCGCTTGTTCTGTTCTTTCACGCCAGGTTTTCTCATTTATAAGTAAACTTCGATTTAAAGCACGTTCTTCTTCCAAATCCTTTTGTAAACGTTGAGCTAGTGATGTTGCCTTGAAATAGATTATTTTAGAGATATCAAAGGTTTCGGGAACAATAGGCAAGTTTGTGCAAGATATTTATATTTTTTTTAAATTGACTGAATATCGCATAGATTGTTAGTTGCATTTTCGTGATATCTCAAATTAAGTTTATCTTTTATATCAAAATAAAATACAAGTATTGATGTAATTACATAAGAATAAGCTTAGGGTGCGAAGTTAGAAAATAAGACCATCCAGTTTGATTTTACCATGTTCTACCATTCAGTTTGACTATCGTAACGTATAACTTTACCAACAGGCTACAAGTACCAATGAACTACGGACAAGATGCTAGTCATCATTTGGGTATTTACAAAACTAAATATTTACGTTTTATTTCATACATTTTCTTTATTAAATTTGGCATGACCACCTGGGGTAACACACGTTTGTGCTAATTATAAATGGTTAAAATCTGAACAATACAAGGGAGTTCGAAAAGTAAAGTGAAATCATTTCACTTCGAGAATTGTTATTAGTTGTAAAGTTACATGCAGCATACAACCTGACACATATTTGAGTTGAATGTTGTCCTTTTGAAGTTTCTTTCTGTATTATTGAGCGTTTATGGTGTCAGAAACGTTATTGCAAACAGCATGAATCTGAATTACCAATGGGGTGATTAATCGAGCTCATCGTCATAAAAATATTCGTCATCATACAGATTATTGGTTTTTATATCAGTATTAAAACATGACAACCAGTAAAATCCTTGTTAGAACTATCGATATAAATAGACCACGAATAGCATTTAAAAGACTGTGCTTTGAGTTTTGTATTTTTACCAACCCACGCACTAAAAAAAACTTTATTTACGCCCTTGCTCTTCTCAAGCCTGTCGTCCAGTAATATCGATAGTTCTAAAAATGATTTTACTGGTTATCGATTTTATCTGACTCCAATTATAAACTCTCATTGATTGACTTTGTATATTTCCTGAGGTCTAAACCCCGAAAGATAATTAAGTTTACTTTCTCACGAGATTTTCAAAACCAGTAAAGTTTTCAGCCGTGGTAAAATAACTTCAATCTTTTTGTGTAACCCGGTTTCGAAAATCTAGTGAGGAAGTAACGTTAATTATCTCCAGTGATTTAGATTTCAGAATACATACGAAGTTAATCAATAAGCATTTATAACTGGAGCCAGATAAGATAGATGAATAGCAAACTCTCCTCATTTTCTACTGTACGCGGTCATTTAAGGGGGGCACGTAGGCAAGTGGTATATCCCTACTTCAAACAATACGCCCATTACTTACAGGTGTTCTAATTCCACAGCCTTATACACAAAGGTATATTTCACCGATGATTTACATTAGATCAAGTAATACGGCGTAACCATGATGTGCTCTGGAGTTTATTTATTACACTAATTTGAAACAAACTTTATATTCTTGCTTAAATAATTAACGTGCTTTTATATTTTTCACAGGCTATAACTAATGTTTGGAAAATGTGCGACTTCGATAAGTCTGAAAAGTTATCGACTGAAGTAAGAGCATATATATATATATATATATATATATATATATATATATATATATATATATATATATATATATATATATTCCGATTACGACATTGAAAATACTAGTTGAGCAAAGAAATATTTCTTTTTTAAAGTAGTTCCTCGTCAAAACTTTATACTAATAATATAATATTTGCAGTTAAGAATAAAATCACTATCAAATAGATAGTGGTTAGTCAATCTACCTTAATCAATCTTAATGTTTTATCTAAAATAGTAATCAGCAACTCAACCGATGTAAAATAAGATCTAAAGATAAGATTACACTATCGATTTTTATTATATCAACTCGTTACTTGAAAATCAGAATTAATTAAGCAATTGAGTTTAAATGTTTAGTGTTATTTGTAAAATTAATTGATATGATGGAATCAAAAGAGCAAGATTATGTCATTTTGAACATTGGTCGGCATGTTATTACAAATATATGTTCACATAGCAAGTCAATGATTAATCGATGTCAAGCAGCACTGAGTTCAAATTATGCAAATTCGAATCTTAAGATAGCTGTGAATAAATCGTATAAAAAGCAGTATATACAAATATCAGTTTGATTTGTTTCCGAGATGAAATAAATCCATAAGTATTTTTGTTCTTACTACTTGTCGGATTCAAGCGGTTTTAGTACCCTCAACACAGGTCAGCATTCTTCTGACATAAAAGTAACAGATCTAACATTAACAATATGTAATTAATAAAACCGGTGCAAATAAATTAAGCAATCACATTATTAAAACAGATCATGAAAAATGAAGTTATGTATTAAAATTGAAAAAGCTTTTAATTTGAATAGGAACAATGAAGTCTGAGACAATTGATTGACATTTTGCAAATGAAGTATTTACTGTATGGCTCTCAGATTTTACTAAGATGTTCTATAATTTGTATTCAAATACTTGTGTTCTCGTTCACTACAATATTACGGAAAGTCGAACTATTAATGAGAGTTATGCCAATTCAGAATTCCACAGCTTCTACCGTACTTCATTTTAATATACTATGATTTCATAATTTGTTTTGTTGGAAAGATAAATCATTTCATTTTCCTGACTTTTTTTCAACAATAATAAATTGTCATTGTAAGGACTTTTGCCCAATTTTGAGTGAATATTTTCACAATATTTGATATATATATATATATATATATATATATATATATATATATATATATATATATATATATATATATATATATATATACTAATATGTTATTTAGTGGGAAAATAGGTGTCTTTTCGTATCAAATACAAAATATCTCATTTCTCTTAAGTCTTGTTAGTAGGTTTTTTTTTCGTAGTTCTTAGTCTTTTACTTACGCTTGTAAGGTAGTTTAACAGGATTTTTTGACTAGTATAGATTTGCGTGCTATAAATTGAGTCAGATTTTGTCTGTCTCTGACTGTCTAAACCGATTTTGATGGGACGGCGTTTGAACTTAGAACTCCGCGATAGAAAATCAATTGGTTTAACTACTAAGCTATCGTGCTACACATTAAATCTTGTACTCAAATACCTGTACGTGTAAACGTCTATACTTGATGAAATATATTGTTGAAACCTTCTACTAAAATTTATGCTGATTAATTGTTCTTGTTCTGTTGTTATTCCTTACAGGAAATTTACTTTCAATCCATTTCTTCATTGGCACAATTCACTTCGGCCTATTTAGAATATTTACATAAATTCTCTGAGTGTATTTTAGTTCACGTACATAAGACTGATATAGATTTTGTAGAATTATCACAAATCTTAGCTTGGTAAGTTTGTTTATTTAATCTATAAACGATAAAACTATAATGTACTGACGACCTTGAGCAATTTATCAGCCAATCAGGAAACACTGCCTAGTTACGAAAGAATTAATGGCAAAAAGCAGTATTATAACAATTTAATAAGAGCTTCGATTTCAATAATCAACCCTCATATGTCGAATTATTCTTTTCATTAAAAGAAGACAGTTAGGTTTTGCAGAGTAGTAGTTGGGGTATTGTTATGAGTTAGGACTATCACCACATTCAGTTTTCATCACCGACTAACACCAGCAATAATGTAAAAAGTTTAGGGTCAGACAGAAAGTGAAGAACAGTTATAGTTAGCTGATGAGATGATTGTGAATCCAATAGTCAGTATTTCCCAATAAATCGATATAAATGGAGTAATTACTAAGTATGATTAAATTACTTTGCCTTTTCACAATATACTTAGATCACTGCAATCTTCATTGTGTGCAAACAAGTAGTAAGTACCACAATAGCTTTATTTGAAAAATTGTAGTATGATAACTATTGATTAAATCTTTGCTGAACTACATTATTATGTTTAGGCAGAAAATAAGAAACGTAATTAGATGTTAAATTTGTTGATGTGATGGGCTTCTAATTTTAGTATTACTCATTTGCTAACTCGAGGTTTTCATAAGAATTTAGTTCTGTTCATTTACTTGTTCTGCTTTCTGTTGTCAAGCCGAACTAGTTAATTATCTATGGATATGTACATCTTTTACATGACAAAAAAAGCCGCTTAACATCTCAATAACACAATTGTGCAGTAATTTTAGGTGTTGAAGAGAGTGTGTACTTACCATCATTATACATTATTTGGAGTCATTGTAATTACTTTATGTCGAGCTGTAGCTTAGTTAGTGAGTCACTCGAGTTCAAATTAAATTCCACTTTAATCTAGGCTACTGGATAGTATCACCGAGTACCAGATGTAGGGTGTGATTACAATTTGAGCCTGCTACGTAATAAATATCGAATCTGTATATTAAAAATACAAATTTGGGATGAATTCTACCACCAGTTGTCTGTTCTTCTGCAGAAAGTACGTTCGACAGATATTGTAGTACTAGCCGGAGACTTGAATGCTCAGATCAAGCGTCTAGGCACAGAAGAGAGTCGTTTAGGTGACCGATGGGGACTTGTTGGTCGCAGGACAGATAACGGGGACCGTCTACTGCAACTGTGCACAAACCACAACCTGTTCCTGGCTAGCACCAACCTTCGGCACAGTCATCGCCGATGTGCCACTTGTCGACCTCCCTCTGCATCTCAAGCCTGGACTCAGGTGGCGGGATGCCAATCACTAACATCCACCGACGTCTTGGACGATGGGCAGAATTTTTCGAAGGGCAGTTCAACTGGCCTGCTGCCCCGGCAACATCGGTCAGACTGTCCTGCCCTCCATGGCCGGTGACGACTGATCCACCAAATGAGGCGGAAGTCCGCAAGGAACTACAACTCTTGAAGCGCTACAAATCACCTGGCCTAGATGACTAACCTCCGGCTCTTCATAAAGATGATGGTGACTTTCTGACTAAGGAACTGACGACGTTGTTTACAAAAGTCTGGGAACTAGAGAGTGTATCAACGTCATGGAATGAGTCGGTAGTTGTCCCTATCTTCAAAAAAGGTTCACGTCGTTCCTGTAACAACTATCGGGGCA